AGTGTCTAATAAACTTTTGTTTCCTGTTTCCAGTAACAAAGATATTGAGGATAAAAGAACAGAAAACCATTTTAGAAATGTAAAGGTCTAAAGTGTGTTTTAATGGAGCAATTGCACATTAACATTAACCACGGGGGCCATTTGCTCGCCACAAATAGGTCTAAATAATTACTGTTTTGATTGGAGAGATTTACTTAGCGCCGTTTTCATTTTTGTGTTTTCCTATTTATTAAGTAAGATCTAATTGCGTTTGTTGTTGATGATATTAGTGAGTGTTGGTGTTATTAATGGTGTTATCTTACATATTATCATTATTATTTTTATTATCATTATTATTCTTGTTATTATTCATATTCATTATTGTTATCGTAATAATTATTATTATTATTGCCATTATTATCATTATTGCCATTATCATCAAAAGTGTCATTATTAATACCATTCCTGTTATTATTATCATTATTACCATTATTTTTACTTTTATCATCATTGCCATTATCATCATTATCATTATCGTTAATATATTTATCATTCATTAATATTATTATTATTATTATCATCATCATTATTATCATTATTATTATTATTATTATCATTATTGGCATCATTATTATTATCACTATTTTTATCATTATCACTATTGTTGCTATTATTATTATTATCATCATCATTATCATTATTATTATCATTATAATCGTTATTATTATTATTATTATTATTATCATTATCATTATTACTATTATTATTATCATTATTATTATCATCATTACTATTATCATCATTATTATTGTTATCATTATCGTCATGTTATTCTTTTGTCTTAACTATCATTAGAAGTATTGCTATCATTTAGCCCTAATATCCTTATTACATTAATCACTCTTATCAATATCAACATCGATAATGATTACATTTACCGTTGCATCCTTATCATTAAGGATAATCACCAAAATAAGTAATGCTGTGGGTTAAGAAGCCTGAATTATCGACAAGGTATGGACGAAAAAAAAAAGAAAAAAATGAAAAGAAAAAGGAAAAAGAAGAAAAAAAGATGTAGATAGACAGAGGGGGCAGAAAAAAAGCTAAAACTAAAATACAAACAGAGTAAATCAAATATCTCAGTGTAAACAAAAATATTAAGAAAACGGACAACAGATGCTTTACCGGTTTATCTTTGTCTCCTCCTCCCTCTTCCTTTCATAATTTGATTATTTTAATCTCAGATAGGTAGAGGTGTGTGTGTGTGTGTGTTTGTTTGTTTGTTTGTGTGTGTGTGTGTGTGTGTGTGTTAACTTAAGTGATTCCTTCAACGCAATTGTCAAATATGTGCGTTTTTTTTCTGAAATCCTGAATCAGAACCACCATACGATAAGAATCATTAATGCCTTTTATAATTGCTTGTTTAAAGGAAGATGACAATAGGCGTCTCAAACAAACACATAAACAAACAAAAAACGAAAGGATATGCAACACAGATTTTACACCAATCAAAACATAACATTAGTCCCTCTATCATTACCATTTTCAACACCCACCACCTTACGCATAACAATCACAATACCCCTTTTAACAACCATAGCGTATACCACATCATACAAAACAGTTCATTCTCACCCCCCTACCATTCACTCACAGACGTTTTAATAAGGGACTAAGATGTGACTCGTAGTAGTTTATAGAATGGAGTGACGAGATCCAATATGAACGAAGACAAGGTGTTCACGAGACTTTGTGGTGTTGAGAAAGTAGTCTGCAAGGTTTCCGGGTTTGCTCAGTCAACAAGCGCACCTATTACGTGCTTTATATAGGGAAAAATAAGTCATTCTGTAGACCTTGCGGTGACAAATATTGCTTTCTGTGGGAAGGGGAGTAGATAAAGGACGTAGTAATTTAGTACAATATGTGTGTGTGTGTGTTTGTATATATCTATATCTATCTATCTATCCATCTATCTATCTATCTATCTATCTATCTATCTATCTATCTATCTATCTATCTATCTATCTATCTATCTATCTATCTATCTATATATATATATATATTCATGAATATATATGTGGGTGTATGTATGTGTATGTATATGTATATGAATGTGCGTATCTATCTTATTTACTTACTTATAGTCTAAATCATATAAATCTAATACGTTTCTTTGATCCAAAATGCTAAACAATTCGTTTCATAAGCGAGATTCTCAACATCCGGACGGCTTGGATTTTTTAATGGCTGTTAGAGATGAAAACCTTGTTATTTGTGGTCAGTCTGGGCAATTAACGCGGTTGACAAAGCGAGGACGTAGTGATATAGAGGATGTAAGATGAATAGTGAGGAGAGAGAGGGAGAGAGAGAGAGAGGGAGAGAGAGAGAGAGAGAGAGAGAGAGAGAGAGAGAGAGAGAGAGAGAGAGAGAGAGAGAGAGAGAGAGAAGGGGAGAGAGAAAAAAAGCGAGAGAGAGAGAGGGGGAGAGAGAGAGAGAGAGAGAGAGAGAGAGAGAGAGAGAGAGAGAGAGAGAGAGAGAGAGAGAGAGAGAGAGAGAGAGAGAGAAGGAGAGAGACATAGATAAATAGATAAATAGATAGATATATAGATAGATAGATAGAGAGAGAGAGAGAGAGAGAGAGAGAGAGAGAGAGAGAGAGAGAGAGAGAGAGAGAGAGAACGAGGGAAGGAGGCATACGCAAAAGAATACTCAAACACAAGCGAAAAGCAAACGCAGACGGAGCGACAGAGAGCCAGCGGCGAGGAATAATTCCTCATCTGGACGAATCGGCGGGAAGGGGAGGATAGGGGGGAGTGGGGAGTGCGGAGGGGGAGGGGGTAAAGGCGCCCCCTAGGACAGCGCGGAGAGGAAGTGGGGGGGGGGAGGGGGGCAGGAGGAAAAGTAGCATTAACATATTCGCTAATTATAGATTCAACAAACTTCACCTATCTGGGCGTCAGACTTGTATTAACCATAATTACAAAACTTCACACGTATCGAAGAATCTCAAATCCACCAGCAACGAAATCCACAACAAACGAACCGACCTTACCAAACAAACAAACGAAAGAAAACAAACATCCATTTTACAACAACACATAACACAAACAAGAAGAGATAAATCAAACCAAGAGGATTTAAAACGCAAATACACATAACGGTGAAATAAAACAAGTGAGCAACGGCCTGTCCTACATCACACAGACAACACACAGAGAGAATTTTGCCTCGTCATCCTAGCTTGCGTTTTCCAGGTAACGTAAACTTTCCATTGCTTTTACGTCGATGAATCATCAATTTTTGTCTACTACAATCTTGTTGA